AAAAGGCAATTAATCGAAGATGGATCGTAATTGCAAGCAATTTGCCAGGATCGGTTGGCATAAGGTTAAGCAGCTGCTTGTAATATATTATTTAAACGAAACCTTGAAGGCCGCAGGCTCGCAAATAGAATGAAGCGAGCGGTGATCGAGTACCCCTATGCGTTTTCTGAGGGTGCCACATAGGCGGGCGCGGTAGTAGTTACATCCGTTTCAGAACCAGGAAAACATCCCCCTCAATGAGACGATGTGGTTACGTAGTTACTTCTCTCCCCGGCACTGTTCTCTTGACTGTACTTACGTGTCTCGAACAGGTTACAAACGACGGGCGCAGTATTACAACCCGCAAATTACGGGGCCCCCCATTTGTCCCTCCCCCCCTCCCCCCCCGACCGTTTCACCGACTGCAATACAAATGTGCTGGTCCAAAGCTGGTGGATTACACGGTTGACTGTGAAAATTGGAAACCTCCTTCTGTCTTTGAACGCGCAGACATTTGACATCTTCGGGATATATTAAGAAAGAATATATTAATTAATTAGTAAACCAAGTAGGTTAATTTAAAAGGTAATCGTGAAAGTAGGAATCGGAGAAAGATGATCGATAAGAATTATACATATGTATAAATAAGATGCATTGATATAACTGTATTTATTCACGGAAAGAACGATTTTGCTGAAAGATCTAAAATTTTGGATACAGATGTAAAATTAATTTTGTTGAAAATGCTCAAACAATTGCTCAAATCAAAGTTGCTATAGAATATCAAAATTTGTTTGTAGCACTGGTCATTACTTTTAAGAGTTTTCGATATATATATATAATAATTATTTTGATGATCCAACCAAATTTTAAATCTTTCAGCAAAAATTGTTCCGTGTAATAAAAAAGTAATTCTTAACATTAATAAATATAATAATATATAAAGAGAATAATATATGAACAATATTATAATATTTTTACAATAACAAAGATAAATGTAATTGACTTTCCGCGCGAATGAAAATTTGAATGTCAGGGAAAAAAACACGTGTGGAAGCTAAACGGAGGAAATAGTTCTTCCGTTCATAAATTACAATATTCGTGAGCCACCCCCGTCGTTAAGCGAATGCGTGTTTCCCGTCGCGCGGTGGCTATGTGTGAAATTCATTTACGGAATTAATACCGTGGATTTGCTAAACGAAGAATTACTGCGTGTCCCGCGTTCGCCTTAATTGCGCGAGCAATACTATTTGCGTCGGGTTAGAGATTGGTTCATTTTAGACCATTAATTTTTTACTTTTTAATTACCGTATATAATTAATTAACATGTTTATGTCATCAGAGCTTTCCCAATTTTATATATAATTACTTATGATTATATATACTTTTTTATAAATTATCTTTTAAAATATTTCTTACGTTCTGTTAGGAATTTTTTTATTATTTAAATTGGTCAGCTCATAAATCATGTTAATAAATGAAAAGAAAAAAATAATATATATAAAATATAACATTTTTAAAAATATATAATTAATTATGTAAATACTTTTTAAAAGTTTGATTGTCCATTTATTATTTAATTTTACATTTTACGTTATGATATATTTATGATATATAATGAGTCATAAATATCATTTTTATGATGATAAATAACCGCATGTAAAAGTTTCATTTTGCGCCGCGGTTTAATTTTCCGGAACGTTGAACCCGCAGGATGTTGCTTGCGTAACCAAAATCCTCATTTTGCCCAGAGGCGATCCTTTTCACCTCCTCGGCCCGTAATAACGCAGGAGTCTGCGTATTACGTCGTTTGATTAATTAATTTACACCGATGAAGCGCCGGATTACTAACCCTCAGGGCTGCAAGCTTTTCCTTACCTCGCCTTCTTCGCGAAGAAACGAAGTAAACAAACGATTCCGTCCGCTTTTCCAGTTGCCGTTATGCACCTAATGGTGTTAACATTAACCGTGACAACAGTTGCGCAGACAAGCAAATAATTGCATCGTGTAAATTTGCTAAACGGCGTGACTGCCGGTTCACACAAAGGTATATCTTAACTCTCTCGAAATGGGCTTTTCATTGTTTGAAAATTGTGTTTATATAACATGTTATTCTCTAAATGATTTCATTTACTCTATTATCATTCTTGAAATTTTCTAGCAGTTTTAATAAATTATATAGCAAAGAAATCTGAATTCCGTTCATTTTCATAAAATATTAGCATGAACCAAGATTTATTAGATATTGATTTTATAAAAACTCTATATATGATGATTATGACGATTTTAATTTGAAATGAATATAAAAAATAAAAGCAATATATTTATATAAAAATTTTTTTTTCATATATATATAAAGCTTAATATATAGATTTTTATCGTCGTATAAATAATTTTATAAACTATTATACGCTAATCTTTTATTGACAATAATAAAAATGGCTTTACAAAATGAAGAAAAGTTTGCGATAAGAAAGACAAAGGAATAGTCTCTACTGTACCGTTGAACACTATTCTTGAGATAACAATGAATAATTGAAGAAGAGACTCCGAAGGGGAGGAACACGCGAGGAGACGTCTAGTATGGGAAACTACTTTCTGTGTTAGAAGGATAGGAGAAAGCATCGTATTCACGAGAGGCACGAAGGTACAAGCATTAATTTTTGCGAGTGTGAGACTCGAGGGACGAGTTGCATCTACGATGCATCCCGGAGGCTGCGCCGTATTTTATTGCGTGAGGTTTGCAAGTTTACATTACCAAGAGAGGATCTGTTAGTTTCGGTAAGGTAAAGGTTTATAGGGCGGTGATAAATGTAGAAGTATTCGCGCTACACCGTTATAAATGGCCGCAACAACTGCAGTTGGTGTCCTAATAGGTAGAATTATTACAATATTCTTCAGTACAGAGCGGCGTATTAAACAGAATAATCATGTATAAATGTCGTGGAACAAAAAGGAAAGGGCATGCAAAATCAGCACAAATTCTGAGATTTTTTTCAGTATTAAGTATTTATTACATACAAGCATTTTTTACAATATGAAGTATTTGTTTCTTTAGACATGACTGATGATATTTAGCATTTTTTTTTTTCGTTATTGTATATTTAGAAACATTCTCTCGTATTCTATTTAATTACCATTATTATTAGGTATTCTTATAGAATAGTTTTAATAGAATCTCAACCAAATCTAATAAAAATAGTATAAGTGTACTAGTGACGCAGGGATAATATACGGTGTTCAAACGATTAATAAATATTTAAAAGAAGAACTAATATAAATAAGTTTCATACAATAAGTCGTAACGAATCGGGCGTTTCCAAGTTCGTTACAGTTGAAATTTTTACAAGAAAAACGCAGAAACAATTTCTCATGTGAGAACGGGCGATAAAACGTCAATAAATCTGTCACTTTGCATGGTTTCAGGCTATGTATACGCTTTTTTTGCTCGATTTTCTTTTTAGTGATCGAAACATTTTCGGCGTATGAACAAGTGACTCGCGATGCAACTCTGTACAAATACGCTCGCTCTAACAACTCTCAATAAAAATATATATTAATCGTTTATAAGAAAATATATTGATTATTCGCGAATGATAGAATTTTTCCCGGCGCCCGAAAAATAAGTCGCAAATACGAATAAAGGAAAATCTCGAATTTAAATAATTATTAACGAGAAAATTTGAATTTTATAATACATATCAGTTCGATAAATCCTCTACGCCGATTATGATAAAATGCGAATAAAGTAAAGAGCGAGCGGAAAAGGGAGATAAATCTCGCGCGTAAATGTACGAGAAAAATTGAATAACAAACAATTTGTACACTAATCCTATCATTTTTCTAATGTCGACGTTTCTCTCGATCATATTTTTCGAACAAAATCAGAATAACAGAAATGCTCGTTTCTCTATTCTTGTAAATAATTTGTCAAAATCTATATCGTGAGATAGGGCGAGCGCAAAATATAAAGCATGCTACCGATATATTTCACGTCTCAGAATTTTTATGTTGCAAATAATGACAAGTAAAAAACTCACTTTTTGGACGTTGCAGCGATATTCGCTTTTACGTTATGCATTAACGTTACGGTATCGATCGTATTTACCTTCATCGAATAAAGTGCAATTAAATCCCATCCATAGTATCTCTCGCATAACAATTCTTACAATTAACGTTACTAGATCGTCACTCACCGTTAACTTATGCAGCGGCTATCTCACAAAGCAATCAGCATTATCGTCTTCGTCATCACAGCTAGAAAATTTATGCACGATCCGCGAAAAAACGTAACGATAGTGAAGTCTAGCAAATATCTAGAATATATACCAATGTTAAGTAGGCCCTCTAAATGAAATACGATAAAAAGAAGAAAAAAAAAACAGTAAGATTGCTTGACTAGTGAGCGCACGCCCCAAAATCTGGTATGGAAGAAAAGTTTTCTCTTTTTCTATCTACTTTTCCCCATCTCGTATCTGCAGAATGTCTCTTATGAATTCCCTATTCAATAACGCGCTTAGATCTACTCATGAAATTGTTATAAGATAGTACCACGCTACGTTATCTTATATGTTAGGGACATTCTTTAATCCATTGTTTTGGCAGATACGTTCTCAGCGTTTGATCCGACTTCTATTTTACCTCTCTTCTTCTTTTGCGTCTTGTATGTTTATTCGTCATTTACTCTCCGAGCAATTTTCAATTTTGTCATCTCTATTGATTAACGCCTCAAAAATCTTAATTGTAATCTACACACGCATGTATGTGTAATAAGGGCGAAGTCGTGTGTGTATATGTATGTTTGCGTGTGTATGTGAGAAAAAAAATAATTTTATGTCGATTTGTTATCGTAAAATATGTCCGTGTAATGAACATTTGAAAATGATGTGTTACAAATAGGCCTCAATCCCCTTCCTTTAGAAAGTTACATTTGTCTAATAGCGTACTACGACACACAGATTGAGTGTCCATACTTGCTGTTGCGTAATAATAATCAATTAACATTATATATTATTTTACACTTCCTTCTTCCCGGTGACGACGCTCAAAGCTCGGCATGATTGTGAGGTACGGGGATAGTCTTTGCGCCCTCATCTCGCTTCATCGAGATATCCCCTTTACACATGATACGTCGCGCGACGGCGGTTATTTACATTATCATAAACAACAACGTCTCGTTTCGAATGCTACCGCTCGCTATGAGCAATTCGGTTGCCCAACTGCTCTTTTTCTGTTCGTCCGGGAACGTTTAAGAGACACCTTATGACAGTAAATCTGCGGAGAAAAATAGAGACAGCATTTATACAGGAGTTATCTGTTATTTAGATATTTTCGATTAAAATGATATATTAGTCCATTTATAGTTGTAACATGTAGGTTTTATAAAATCGCGATTCCAGTTTTCTTTATTAAACAAAATCCAATGATTAAAAATGCAATAAAAACCTTGATTTACATACCTGGTACTTGATTGTTATCCTGTGGCTTGTTGATGAAATTGTCCTGGAACGGATTAACATTGGCATTAGTGGCAGCGGGCACGAACCCCATCGGAGTAAACGGCATCGCCGCCGGATTCAGATTGGAGTTGAGGGTATCCTCATTCGCTAGATTGGGCGTCAGTTCGAGTATCGGCCCGGTATCGTAGCCAGGACTGTTATTACTCAGAGTATCGAAGTCCGACAGGTCTAACAGGTTGTTGGTCACGTTGTTTTGCTTGCTACAAAACGAGCCAAATGAAAAACATACAAAGACTAAGTTGGTAGCCAGACATACGGATTAGGGACTACGACTTAAGCGACTATTCACGATCACTAACACGGAATCGCCGCCGCTAAATTAGCTAAGCCGATTGCGAACGATTCATTAATACCTTCAGTTGAATCACTAAAACGAAATAAAACGGATTTTGTCGAATAGGAACATAGTTCGTGATTCTATGTACATCTAAAAAAACGTCATCAACTGAATGATATAAAACTAGCTAGATAAAAATAACTAAATAACGTATCGGATAAATATAAAGCGCTTATGCGTCAATTGTTCTGCGTCATTGATCATATAACTGCTTCTCAAATTACAGATTTTAAATGCCTTGAGGGGCTACTATTTTGATGTAACTATATAAACAACTATTATAAGCGATGAAGTCTGATAGAAATTGCTTTTATGCGTAGCAGTACTAACCAAGAAAGTCGACAACCTTTTGCGGTCCTTTGTAGTATCCAATATATATCTTTCGTCTGCTTTTGGTCGAATAAAAAAATTTAAATATAACTAATATATTTACGTATATTATTCTGTGTTGTTGGATCGCAACAGGTTTCTGTTTAAATAACTACGGGAACCAGTTAGTTAAATTGATATACACGTGTCAACTGTGTAACTATAATAATCATAGCTTGCTAGAACATATTACAGCAAAACAGCAAATACAGATCTAATTACATAAAAAATTGAATCACATTCGATCGAATCACACTCGTCGGATTAAGATATTAGAGAAGAAAATTCATGCCACGTTTGGTTTCTTCTTCTTTCGTTAATTTTCCTATACGGGTACCTTTGTGTAGGATTCGTGGATGTGGTGTGCGTGAAGAGACGTTTTCTCATGAAAAAGTACTATATCGGAAAATGTGGAAGTAAATAGTACATAGCAAAAGTAGGCAGTAAGTTGACATATATCGCGCTTGGTATACAATACACACAAGCATGAGGAACTCAGACATTGTGCAAGGAAAAGAACAAGCCACACCATATCAACGTCAGTTAACATGCATTGGTGATTTGTTACGAAAATCAGTCGCACTTACGGTACACAACTGGTCAATAAATGGAAGAACACTTTTTATTAGTACCTAATTGGAGGAAAGATCAAAGAGAGATACTCAGCAAAGATGATATTTACAAATTATTATACTATATACTTATTATACTATGAAAATGTTAATTGCATTTAATGTAACTGCGATACGTCATTATTTTGCTACTTTGCAAAAGTCATGTTAGCATTATTCATCCTTGCTGAGTTGGTATATTGTGAAATCACAAAACGAAACTTTTCGATGACTCATTAGATTTATGCCGTTTGTTTCTCTTTACATTATATATATACTGAGATTTATTTGTCCTATGTGATTTAACACTAAATGTATTCTGCAGTTTTGTTAATATTTTTCTTAATTTCATATTTTGTGTACGATATTACATAACGTTCTTCCAACTCGTTCACATAATACCTAATGACGATCGAAGTACGCGATTCTCGTTATCTTAGACAATCTAGCTAAAAATAGTATGTAAATTTGCCGTTAATACATAGCTGAATATCAATTATAAAATATATGTAACTATTACAATAGGTGATATACAATATACATTCTCATATTTGCAATCTCATTATCACCGCGATAGTAATGTTAAGTCTCATAATTTATTATTGATTAATATGTTGCTAATCAATGTGCAACTAATCATATCATAAACGGTGAGTCGCAATGGCGTGTTTATTATGCTCGTCAACCGTTATTCTGACTACTTTTGCAATGTACAATACGCATGGGTTACTCAGAATTTGCGTGAAGCGATAAATATTCGGTGAAATTAATTTCGATAGGCAGTTCTTTCCTGTAGATGTCTCAGGAAAGCGCAGTATATAAACTTTTTTTACTAAATAACTGTTTATTATAATAATGTACATATTGTTCATTTGCTACAACAATATAACAAAAAATTGTCATTCTTTAATTAATTGCAAAACAAAAAACAGAAATATAAAGAAAAAACAAAAATATATACTTTAAAAGTATATACATACTTTTATTCGTTTACGATCAGTTCTTACATAAAAATTTTATTTCAAAATTAATATATACCTACAAAATTTTATTGGTTCAAAACATTCAAACTTATTTACTAGAAAACTTACTATTTTGAGTTGTATCTTTGCTGCAGCAAATGAGCGATATGTATA